TTTTTTTTTTTTTGGTGAAATGGAAGTTGCTGTGGAGAGCCGGCTCTGTGGCTGCGGCTCGCACCCTTGACACCTTCGCTCAGCTGTGCGCTAGGAGGTATCACCTTCTCCAACATCACCCGGCAAACCCACACACAAACACTCACACATCCTTCAACATGCCCCGTGCCAAGCGAGCCAAGGTCGTGTCCCTCACGAGGACCGACAAGAAGACCAAGGAGGACAAGGCGAACCTCATCGACAAGGTCCGCGATGCAGCCCAGGAGTACCCTTACGTGTGGATCCTCGGCCACCACTCGATGCGCAACAACTACCTCAAGGAGGTGCGTGACCTCTGGAAGGGCTCCAAGATCTTCTTTGGCAAGCTCAAGGTGCTTGCGCTTGCACTCGGCATGACCGAGGAGGAGGAGGTTAGGACCGGCATCAGCGGCATCAGCCAGCGTCTGTCGGGCGACGTGGGTCTGCTCTTCACCGACAGCCCGCCCGCAGAGGTGATGGACTGGTTCAAGGACTACCAGCGCGTCGACTTTGCTCGGGGCGGCTCCAAGGCCACCGAGACCATCGAGCTGCCAGAGGGCGCGGTCATGGCGCGCTCCAACCCACCAGACACGCTGCCGCACCCCGTCGAGCCGCAGCTCAGGCAACTCGGCATGCCCACCGAGCTGAGGCGCGGCATCCCCACCTTGCTCCAGAACTACGTCGTGTGCAAGGAGGGTCAAACACTCACCTCCAACCAGGCACAGATCCTCAAGCACATCCTCGTCCACATGGCCCAGTTCCGCCTCATCCCGCTCGCCTACTGGAGCGCCGCCGACGCCGAGGAGAACAAGGGCGAGAATGGCGTGCACCTCATCGAGCTCTCGGACCGCGACCAGGAGCTCGTCGGCAAGCAGGCCGGTAAGCTGCGTGCTCCCAGCGACAACGGCTGGTCCAGAGACCGCAAGAGCAACGGCGCCGCCAAGAAGACCGCCGACAGCGCCGAGGACGACGAGGACGACGACGAGGAGATGGCCGAGGACGACGACGAGGATGACGACAGCCAGGACGCAGAGGACGCAGTGACAAAAGATATGATGATGCCGCCGGGCCTCTAGATGCCATCAGCTAGCTCTCTCCTTCTCAGCATCCCCAATCCGCTTTCTGTCTCGCGCATTTTGACTCGATTCTGTGTACTTTCATACGTCTCGTTCCTTGCTCTTTAAAGTCGACGTGATACCATCGCATTGCTTTGGCTGCGGGGTTGTGCAGCATCTCGACCTTCTGACACTTTGAGGCCACCGCACCGGGGCATGTCCGTTGAGCGTGCAGCGAGATAAGGCTGGTGCGGAAGTCAAGTGCGGAAAGTCGAGTGCGGGTGTGAGTGCGGAAATTGGGTGCGGAAGAAAGTTGGAGGCAGGCAGGGTGGGGCTGAGTTCAGTCTTGCGCAAACGCAGAAGGGGCCGCTCGAGACCGGCGAGACCGACGGTCTTCCTGGCGGCAAATGTGCCTCTGGCCACAACAGTGGACTGTATCTCGCAGTGCATTTTGAGCAGCGTTGACGGCGCCAAGCGGTGAAGTCGGAATTCGGACATGCGCCCTCCACATGCAACGGCTGTCAACCCGCTGCAGTGTGTTGCGACCAACACGAACCGACCAACATCAACATCTTTGCGCACCTCCGCATTGGATCGGCACCGCACCACGAGAGCTGGCGTCAAGTGCCTGTTCGTATCATCAGCCACCCCGCGGGGGACTTCGCCCATCAAATCTGGTTGTATCGAATCGAATCGAGGGGCAGTTTGGATCGCCGCAGAAACCCCGTTTGCTACGGTCCAGGTATCCGCCCAACTCCGGCTATCATCCTTCTGTACACTCAGCTTACAGGGAGATGAGACCAATACAGACGTGTCGTCAACAACTCCGCACGTCCTGACCAGAAGAATAAGTGGATTGCGCCACCGGCTGAAAGTCTCCGCGACACTGCGGATCGGACGCACATTTGCATCGAATACCCGCCACTGATGCACACCGGACCAAGTCGCGAATCTCCTCGAGCGTGGCAACGGATGGATGGAGGCGCATGGCGGACAGCACGTGCGACTCGCCGAGGACGAGCGCACACGTGACTCGACCACGGAAGCAGCTTGCGGTGGACGCAGTCGGCCGACTCGCATCGAGGCGCTGCCACCAGAACTGCTCTTGTACCTCTCGAGATTTCTCGATCTGGCGAGCGCGATAGTGCTGAGCACGGCAACTTGCCGTAACCTACGTGCGATCTTTGGCCAGTTCGACCGCGAGCTGCTGTACCTGGAGCCGGGGCATCGTCTCTGTCTGGCCGAGTGGAGAGAAGCTGCGGCCCAATTGCAAAATCACGGGTTGTCCACAGAGTCACCCGCCGACTCCAGCACGCCGCCGTCTGCGATCGACCAAACAGCAAAGCCAAAGACGACTTTGGACGTGGCTCGGGTGGTGCACGAGCTCACACGGGACGAAAGCTTGATTGATCTAGACCTGCTCAAGGCGGTGCTGGATTTTCTCTCACGCCGCTGCACCTCGGAAGTATCTCAGCATATCCGAGTGGATGCCGTGATGCCGTCAAGGTGGGCCAGCGGGAATGCGGGTGCCAACAAAATCCGAACTCTTCATCTCAGCGGCTGGCATGGCATTGCAGGTGCGTTTCTAATCCAGCAGCTGCACATGCAGCCGGCGCTGCGCAGAGTGTGCACGGTTGTCAAGACCGAGCGTGCCGACTCTCGCATATGGAAGCAGGTGGCAGCCGACGACCCGACGCTCGTGCCGCCCTCGTTTTGGCCATCGACCCAGCCGGACCCGCAGCAAGATGGTGAAAGCGGCAAGCCGGGCTTTTCACGCTGCACGAGCACGCAGATCATCGTGCGCGTCGGTCGCCGCCTCCCGCGCCGCGATGGCCAGGCTTATCTGCGCGGAGAAGGCCTCCAGATGGGCTACGAGGGATACTGCATCGAGCTCAACTCGCCCAAACAGCTGTCAGTGCCATCAAGCGATGAGGCGTTAAAATCGTCTGGTCCGGAACCACCTTCTACAGCGGAGGCAGCAGCATCAACGGGCGATCGATTGCACGTCGTTCTACAGGGTCGCGAGGACACGGATGCAACCCTGGGTGGATGGACGCACAACGAGCAGCTCTGGGTGCGCAGCATTGTAACCTGCAACCACTGCAAGGCACCCATCCGGTTCTAGCCCCCTCTGTCGCCGTGCCGCCGTCCATTTCCGGCTGCACGGCTAGGAACTCCCGACGGATTGTGTTCTGCGGCCCATATTGACGTCGTACGGGTGGAGTCGCGCTCGTCTTGCAGCGGTTCTCTTGGAAGCTGGTCTTGGGGCGGGTACTCGTCATTGTCAACTCCGCGCTGTCGCCGTAGGGATAGTCTCGATGGCGTGCTGCGCTGCATGATTCCAGGAAGATGGGCCGTGGCCCAGCGTGCTCTCGGCGTGGCGTAGTCCCGAACAATGTCGCCTTGCGCAACAGTTTTCCGGATGCATCCAGGACTCCGGCAGACGTGCATCGGAATTGGCGAAACTCGGCCTGCCTTTACGCCTCGGCCTCTTGGCAATCGGATGCGGCAACCTCCCCAGAAAAGGCAGTGTGGCGCCGGTCCGATCGTCCGGTCCGTCTTCAGATCGAGCGTCCCACGCTAGGCTGCGATCAGCCTGCGCTTGGCGAGATCATGTCATGGCAACGTAGAGTAAACAAGAATGTCCAGCCGAGACGGCTTTTTGTGTTCAAACTGCGCAGCTGCGTTTCGCCAAGGTTTACCGGACCAAACTAGCTGCGTTCAATGCATCGGCGACAAGCGCGTGCAGGCTAGGAACGCAATTCGGCTCCGGTATCAAGGCGTCTTTGTCACCAGATAGCAGCACGACATCACGTCGCTACGCGTTGTGACTATCTTTCAAGTACGCGAGTACAGCTGCAAACGCCCCAAGGTTGCAACGAGCTGACGAGCATTTGGACCAAGTAAGGGCCTGAAGTGGGCTACTGTATGGCAGCCAGTTCCATTGGAGGCATTGCTGGAGCAGCGTCTCTAAATATAGCCCCGTGCAGCAGGGGTCTTGGTTCGAGACTTCAGGTGGCGCCAAATCGCCTTTATTGCCGAGATGACATGCACACTCGGCGAAATCTCCAGACGTGTTCCTTGCTAATGGATCCAGGAGACTACAACCAGAAATGCATTCTGCAGGGTCGTGTGGGTCGTGTGATGGGGGGGTGGACAGCATGATGCCGGATGAAGGCTGCACGTGGACGCGACCAAGCAACGAGTCTGGGCATTCGGCACGTTTAGCGAGATAGCAGAAGCGAAAGTCCCTTCCGGCTGCTATGCCATTGAACGGAAGATCGACCCCGGTACCATCTTCGGCGCCACTTGGGAGGCACATGCTCTGAGACACAGTCGGCGGCTGACGTCGGTCACTTTGCGTAACCGTCATTTTGCCAATTTGCCGTCGACGGGGCCTAGTCTCCCCCCACTTCGCCAGCTGTTGATAAAAAACGAAGGGAAAAAAAAGGAAAGGAAAAAAGAATGCCCTAAAATCAGTCACAATTGTCGACCAAAGCGAGGGCGTCCCATGAGTCGTGGTGGGGGCTGAATCGCCAAGCCATGGATTTGAGCTTGAGGACCAGCCGAGATTCGGTCTCACCAGCTGTACCAAGGGCCTACGATGCTCACTGGTGTCAACACGATTGGATTCGGCAGAGGTGCATGACGGGGTTGTCCGAACTCAGCCGCATGAGTTCGGTCCTATCTTTGGGCCAAACAATTGGCGCAGGAACGAGTGTGCAATCGGTTCCGAGCATTAGGCTCGGATATGCCTCGGGCTCGGAGTTAACGACCGAGCTTGTTTGTTCTGCACCGCTGCACCGCTGCGTGAATGAGCATGCATGCACATGGATATGTCCAAGCGTCGGCAGCATGACGTTGGGAGGGGTTTCCGAAATCCGAAGAGTCTCAGATGCGCAGTGGTCGTCCATGCTTCCCACGCCAGTGGGATCGAGCCGGCAGGGTGGGGTTGGATTTCACAAACAAACGTGCGTTTGACTCAACAAATCCGCCGAACGCAGTGCTCCACCAGCTGGGGTTGACTCATTGGCTCGGCTTGCATTCTTCCGTGCCGCTGCAGAGGGTTCCACAGAGAGTTACCGCCCGCTGCTGCTGCCAAGATGCAGGGTGCAAGGCCCTATGATGGTGTGAGCAACTGACTTGCCTGCATCCGAACTCCAAGTGCTAAGCGAGACACCCTGCGCAGCGCCGGCAACGGGTCTGGACCGGCCCCGAATCGCAAATTCAAACCCTTCCGATCCCACACTAGCAAGGCAGGACATCCGGATGACTTCCTGCCTGCTCACCGACTTGTCCGGCTTGACGCCGTCATCCCGGACAGCCACTACTGATCTTTGCTCCGTGGCTGCACTTCTTGGAAGCGGTTTCGAAACCGGCCTTTTTTTCCGCGGCATGCATCGACGTCTGACCGCATTGTTCGTGCTGCATGCAGGGGCACCGCCGAGCCCCCTGCGCCGCCTGCTCTGCCTCCGACTGTCGGGAATATTTATTGAGCGTCGTGACGGATCAGCGCGTGTGCTGTCAGCAGCGAATTGGTCGAATTCGTGCTTGTGCTCGTGCTCGACTCAGCAAAAAAAAGGCATGCTGCCGAGGCACATGGTCTAGGGTGGACCGTTGACGATGCAGATTGCAGCCAAACGCGAAGGGGCTGTCCATCTTGCGTCTCGGCACGGCGTGGAGAGTGGATCGAGATCAGAGAGCCAGCGAATCTGATGCCGTGTAAAAGCAATCGGCCTGAAGGGATGTCGAGTGCCGGCGAATTCTGCAGTGCATGACGTTGGACAGACTGCCGGCAGTGGAGCGTGACAGTAGTGGGCGCTGTTTCGGTGGATTCGGCGGATGAAAAAGAAGGCAGGCGCCCTTCCTGGACCAATCTCGGAAATATTTTCTTTTTGTTGGATTTGTTGGAAATTGGGCATTTTCACGAGTGCGCGTCTGCGTCTTTGGGGCGGGACCCGCCTTGCACCCTTGCTGAAAAGCGCAGACGAGTTCTGTTCAAGGTTAGCCACACCACCTTGGCGCAGCGAGCGTGTGAAATGGAACTCGTTCCGAGACACGCTGCTGTGGATCGGCATGGATCCGCGGAGGCAGCCCAGCCCAGCCAAGCCCGGCGAAGCCTTGCTCCTGGTAGCTCCCGCTCCGCTGCACTGTGCTGTCTTGCCGCATCGGATGTGCCGCACCATGCTCAGCAAAAAAAAAGGTGGTAGGGCTCTGTGCATTGCAGCAGATTGCCGGTCAAATGCCACCACGCCGTCAGCATTGACAACTGCACGAGCAGCAGCACGGCATTCCCGACAGGAGGCTGCGAATGCGAAGGCAAAAGGCGTGCGCAGGAGCGTGAGAACGGGCAAGCGCAATCGAGAGCAGTCATCGTTTGTGGGGATGCAATCAAGGTCTCGACACCTGGCAATACGGTCGCGACCCACTTCGGTTATGCGGCCGTGTTGCACCGACTTCGGAACGCTCATGCAGTACCGCCCCACCAAACGCACCCAGCGGCCCCATCGTTCGTTTGGCGCAAAGTCGGCCGCTTCCACACCCGAGCTCAGCTTCTGAACCCTGCCGTTCTTTTTTTATTTTTTATTTTTTATTTTTTTTCCCCTTTGGCTTTGTCTCGCGCCGGCAAATTTCCCCACGCTGGGCGGAGGCTGCCGACGCATTCACGCACTCGACCCTGCCACACCGACCTCGCCGCGCCCATCAATCCATTCCCTCTCGTCGCTGTCGTCGCTGTCACCGGAGCATCTTGGAGCATCGCCTTCCTCCCACACCCATGTAGCTTTCGGCTTTCCGCTTCCCGGGTCCAACACGCCTCCTCTTTGCCCTCTTTGTCCTTTTCTCCCTCTCACCACCCACCACCCTCGATATAGCAACCTACGCCTCGATGGCCTCGTCGCACTAAGATCCGTGCTGCCGCCTCGCACCCAAGCTTGGCGGTTTCCACCCTGCATCGCTCTCTCCTGCTGTCACTCGTCAAACCTGGGCCCGCCCCTCTCACAGCATCCCCTCGATCTGGCATCCTGCAGCCTTGAGCTTCACTGGCACGTCGTCTGCCGTTCGGCCTTGCGACATCATTGCACCCATAGCGTTGCACCAAACTCCTTCACCTGCACTTGCAGCGGTCCGGGCCAGTTCACGCCTCTGGCGTCCTCATCCTTCGTGTCCACCTGCGCCGAGCAACCTGACCTCCCACCCCACTCCGCCAAAGGCTCTGCTTGTCCTGCTTCATCTCTGATCGCCCTGCTCTCCCGGGCTGCTCCTAGCGCAAGACAGCACACGATCGCTCGCACAGCTCTCGACCCTGATCTTCGACGCACCACAGGCCACAGGTCCAGTCAGCATCCCGTGCACCCACCTCTCTTTGCACGCCTGCACCACCACCGACATTGCGACCCTGTGCTCTGATCGGCACGTCTTAGTCCGCCGCAACCGAGACGCCCCGCCCTCCTCGTCGTCAGGCCCAGCCTTTCGCTTAACAGCCTTGTTGGGTCGTACATCTCTTGCCATTCCCGGGTTCCGTTCGGCCCAGTCTTATTCGCCGAAGCTGGCTTCCCTGGCTCCCTATCTCGATCGTCGTCCCCAACCGCCTCGACTAGCACTAGCCCTACAAGCGAATCTGCATCTCGGCCACATCTCCCTTGTCTCGGTCGGATCTGCAAGGCTGCTCCATTGTTGAATAACACCGCAATCCTCAGCATCATCGACGTTATCGCAACTGTCAATCTTGCTGCATCTCCTGCAAAGCTTCCCACGCTTCACTGTATCCCTAGTCCACGCACTCAGAAGCCCGACTCCGGACTCCTCAGCTCTTGCGCCTCGACGTTACATCCGTCTCGCACATTAAGCTTTGCTGCAACTCCCACCCCAATCCTCCGCTTTCACCACGGATCCGATTCCGGCCTCGGCTTTGGCTATAAAACCGTCCCGCCCCACACTTCATCAACCGGCCTCTCCTCAACTCACAACCTTGTCCACAGTCCTGCACTCCGGCGTTCGCCCTTTTGAGTCACAATCGCATCGCCTTTGCTCCGACACCGTCGTCCTTCCTCCATCCACTCGCTTCAAAGCCTCATTCCACCCCAAGCTCTGTCAATTGTCTTCACATTGACCGCCGCTCTTTCGCACGACTCGCGTCCTGCGCCTCAAGTAGCTCGACGCTCAGAAACAAGCCGATTCAAAGACATCAATGCTGTCTAGCATGCCCTTTGGCCGACAACAGGACGGTCGACAAGATTCGATTGATCCGCGAAGACACTCGCTCCCGGATCTGTCCCTTTCTGCTCACTTGCTCCAAGCTCAACAGCTCTACGCTGCAGCCCACTCGTCGTCGCTCGCCATGGACCCAGCCGCTAGCCGCGTCACCGCAAGTCCTCCGGGCGATCCGCGTGGAGGCTTTGCCCAATTCCTCGAAGCAAACTCGCCCTACTCTTCCCTCGGCAGTGACAGTCCGCCGCAGAACAGCGGTCTGCCGCAGTACGCGGAGACCCATGCTCGGCCTCAGCACGGGGCCCTTCCACAAGCACAGTCGCCGCATCCTCACGCGCCGATCAACTCCCGGGTGCTACCTGAAGCATCGATCTGGACATCAAGTCAGAACGATCCGGCGTCCTTTGCTCGCGCACACGCAACGATGACCGCCAATGGCTTGCCTGCTATCGACTTGCCAACGGGCTCTTCTTCTTCTGCCGGTCTGTTTGCTTCACAGCCCTTTACTTTCACTCCGCCCTCCGGCTCCGCCGAGTCCGCTCGTGATGCACACAACTACTATGCGCATTACCTGGACGACTCGACGTTCGGCCGCAACGCGGGTCCCGCCGGCAACACCTCGATCCATCCTCTGATGCATTCGACCAACAGTCACAGCGACCAGGAAGCGTTGTTCGCCTTTGCTTCGGCCATGCAAGCCTCTTCCTTGCCGGTCCCCGCCTATGGCTCGACGGACGCTGGCAACACGACCTCCAGCTCGCCCGAGTCCGAAAGCGCCGATGCGCAGTCCAGCGACAAGAAAAAGTCGGCGCGTCGCCAGGGTGTCACTTGCGACCAGTGCCGCGCAAAGCACCTTCGCTGTGATCTCGACGATCGTCGCAGCGAGGCAGCGCGCAGTGCATCTCCAGAGACGGCAGAGACGGCGCTGCTCGAAATGCAGAGGAGCAACAGCACCGGGACAGCGGTGCACCACATTCGATGCACCCGCTGTGACGAGAAAGGCTTCGTCTGCACCAAGACCTATGCTCCTCCTTCGCGCAGATACCCACGCCCCAGCCGCTCAGGCAAGCGCATCGAGCAAGCTCGCATGCTGCACGGCGCCGACGATGCCTCCGCCGCGCGACCGACCGTGGAGCGCATCAATGCATCCTCGATCCTCATCCG